CAAAAAATTTTCATTGTCTATTTTTCGGTCAGTCTATTTTTTTCAACGGGGAAATTATCGATTCCTACACGTAAATCTGTTAGTCCATATTAGCTACCCAGAATGAGAGCCTATAGAAGGTCTCACAGCCAAAAATTCAACTCTGTATAACAACAAGAGAAAAGATTGTGACACAATTGAAAATGCTATTCTTCACCATAACTGTACAAAACTGCGTATATGATGGCGTTAACTATCATTTCTGTATGATTTAAGGTTAAATTACTAAAAATCGGCTTATGATCAAATATCAGTATTTTCGATCAAAGTGTACCAAAAAAAGAACCTCCTATAATGCAGATCATAGTTTCAGATAGCTCAACTTTGAATGTACCTTTGGTTAAAATTTCAGTTTGAAATCTTTTGCTAGTATGTGAAAATTTTCAGCATAAGTTGGGCTACCACGGGGGTTTTGTAGGATTTTTGGCCTATATACGGTCTATTTGTAAACTTGTTTTAAGAATAAAACCAATTCTAACAGTAGATTCATATTCAGCGTTGAAAACTGTTGTCGAATTTCTATTAGAATGACCTCCATTGTTTTTCGAATGGCTTTTTTTACCATTTCAAGCTATGAAGCCCGGATTAACATCATTCGAAAGAGTAATCTCTGGAACATCGATGTATAGGTATTTTTTGCAGTTTATCAATTGCCTTTGATACATTCTATACTAGCGATATAAATACTCTCGTTTAATGGTCATTTATTGAACCATTTTCTTCGATAAGTTTCGAGCAGTTATTTATTCGAAGTCCTTTTTTTAGGGTTTCCTACGGAACTTCTTCCTTAGAGAATGTTCAGCCAAAATAAGGTACAAAATCCGATCGTGAATAAAAGACACGAAAAAGAATAAGATCGATATAAAACAAAGATAATCGCATCGATTTTGTTTTCTCAACAATGAGCAGTGCAACACTAAAAGAAGCCCTCGAAAGCCCTTAAAACTGATTCATTTTACAGCTGTGCATTAGACAGAAAAAAGATCGATTTGAATTCTACTGTATGAAACAACATCTACAGCCTTGGCTTATGCCACCTTCCTCCTGGCACATCATCCAGATGTTCAACGAAAACTTCAGAACGAGATCGACCAACACTTTCAAGGCAATGACAATGAAGAGACTATTCGAAATCGTGACTATGATTTGGTTCACAAAATGCCTTTCGTAGTATTATTTATCAAAGAAGTATTACGAATGCATCCGATCGCTAACACGGCAATTAATCGTCGATGCATGCACGACACGGACGTTTGCGGCATCAAAGTTACTGAAGGTACTGTTTGATCGTTAAATGTTGAACACGATAGTAATATGAATAGCTTCGTTTCGATGAGAGAAAATACACGACTCGTTATAGGACAAGTGAAAAAACAGACAACGTCATATGCGTATAGCTCACCTGATCAGCACTGACTCAACACCTACTTTTTCTGCTCTATTCGTTTTACTTGTGTTTTCATCAGCAGAAATGAGTACCTGTTTCCAGCGAAATACACATCAGAACATCCTGGGTTGCTAATATGGACTAACAGATTTACGTGTAGGAATCGATAATTTCCCCGTTGAAAAAAATAGACTGACCGAAAAATAGACAATGAAAATTTTTGAACTGCGCATACTACAAAATTAAAGCAACATTTTATTTTTTTAAACTAATTATACATTATTGGATAGATCTGAGTTTCAGAGAACTATACAAATTTCAACATTCAAAAGATTAAAGTAGTCGGACAGGATAGAAATACAGATTAGATGTCTTAGTTTTTGATCCTAAGTCCGAATACGATGTTTCTATTGCACAAAAGTTGACTTCTGATTGAGAAAATGCTGAATCAGAAAAAAATATTTGGAAAGGACAAGTCTGGATAAGTGGATTTTTCATCCCAAAGAATTTTCGAGAAAACACTACATGGCTGTAATCAGCGTCGAAAACTGAACAAAATGGCCGGTTCAGTTTTTCGAATTATTAATTTCCAAATTAGAGAATTTACAAAGCCCTAAATTAATTTCTTATTTCTGTAGCTGTTAGCTGACAATGAGTTTTTACAGCTTTTCTGGTAAATTCTCTAATTTTGTAAAGAAAGGTCGTGTAGAGGTGGGACATGTCTCGTTTTAATCAGCAATTTGCGGGCTACAATCGTACCTTATTAAAAAGAGGTTTTGATTAGTTTTTAGAGTTCTTGAAAAACTGTTTTTCCAGAAAACCGGGTCTTGAAGAGTCCGCAACTTTTTTTAATTTTTTGTGGTCAGATTTGAAATCAGCGTGAAAAACTGAATCGATCTATGTGTCTCTCTCAATTGATGGAGACTTGGCTATGGCTTAAAAATAGTGATAAAATGATGGATTAGTCTAATTTTGGTCGCTTTTTCAATTTTAGTCAAAAATTGATGGAAAAGTAATTATTTTAAAACTCATTTAACATGTTTTGGATAGCGTGAATAATTCTACACACTCCTGAGTGTTTTTCAAGGTTTCAGATCTCACTTCAAAGCCAGCTGATGGTTCAAAAGTGAAAGAGATTAAAAATACCTGTTTTCAAAAATCATTGCGTTTTCATTTTCCGTGATGCTTTTAAGTAAAGTCAAGAACATATTTCGAATCAGCGTTGAAGTCTGATTCTAGTGATGTGTTTTTCATCCATTTCTGAGGAAATGTTTTTTTCGATGTTCCTGAGATCCACCTCAGCCCTCAAATTTTTCGAAAAAATTGAAAGTAGTTTTTTGGAAAAAGTGAACCGGCCATTTTGTTCAGTTTTCGACGCTGATTACAGCCATGTAGTGTTTTCTCGAAAATTCTTTGAGATGAAAAATCCACTTATCCAGACTTGTCCTTTGTATAGTTTGAACTGAGATATTGAGCTGTTTTTGAACTTGAAGGATTTTCGTAGGATGACAACTGAGTTGTCACGTATGAAAATTTGTTTGATAAATTAAACGAATGTCATACGGCTGTGGGACATCTTGGACGTGATAACACATGGAACGAAGTATGTGACAGAAACATTGCCGCCGTTGGGTATGTTCTCAAATAATGCCATTAGGAAAAATTCTGCGTTTGTATCTTTTTATGACTTTTCTGTCTAATATAGATGAAAAATCATTATTCGCACATACCTCTTGAAGCTGTGACAATATTTTTTAGTTTATGTGATCACTGTGTTTCTCGAAACGTTTTTCCCAAACCAGTTGTTGGAACTAAAACTACGAAAAAGACACCATTTGAGATGGTATTCGGTCAGCAATCTCGGTCTGACGAAGATTTTTGGAAACGTATTCAACAGCAAATGAAAGAAAATGATGATAATAATTCGGCTATACCTGATATCGAAAAAGGTATTATGTTAGAAGAAAAGTTGCCACTAGAAGCAGCAACATTATTTGACGAATTTGATAAAACAGTCTCACAATCAGATGATGATAATGATGACTTATAGTACAATCATAATAAATCTGATAATGAAGAAGATAATGATAATAATAATTCAGTAATAAATTATCCAGTTGACCCGATTACATGGTTAAATTCGATAAGGACAAAGTCATTCAATAGGATGAAGATTCGAGCAGTTTTAAGTCATCCACTAGTGCAAGCTCAAGTGCTATCCGTGATCATAGTGCTTGTAGTCCAATGTACGATCGTCATAAGAAAATTCGAGAAGAAGGTGAAAAGTCTTATCTTTCTATTGCTCAGTCACAATTACTGAAATATATTACAAATTCAACTAAACGTCAAAGGACATATGTTATTGGCGATATAATTGGCTCAAATATTTCTGATGTTGCTAGAACAAATATTTCCTCCACAGTATCGCCGTGTAAAGTAGTACGATGTAATACTGGACATGGTAGCAACACAAACTGGTATTATCATAGAAACTTTTGAATCGGTTACTTTTCTTGATCTTACAACGGCGAATTTTGCTACACTACGCGTCCTAAATACTGATTTATTCCCACTGATAACCTTTATACAAGCTTGCCAAATTTATATCAATTTTAAATCGGCAGATATATGTAAATGCGCTGGTGTCTGTAATACAAAATGATGTCCGTAAAAAAAAATTGTCATAAATGTTGTACAAAATGTCATGGGGAAAAAGCAACAAAATGTGAAAAAAAACATATTTATGCTCGTTTTTGTTTTCGTGCTTTGTTAAACTTCACAGTATCAAAAGAAAAGAGGCTGCTGCAAGAAGGATATAAGTTAATTTTACGGAACGGCACTGCATTGTAATACAGGCTAGTTCAGTTTGAAACACAACTACTTCGTTTTGAACTGCATTATTGATCCAGTTGAGTTTCAAATCCACCTAGTTGGCTTTGTCAGTTCAGATCCAAATTTTGATTAGACCTAGGCGAAATCAAAATTCTGAAATGTACTAGTTCATTTTCAAACTGCTTTTCCAACGAACTACTTCACATTAAAATTTCGATTTCACCTAGTTTTTATAAAATTTCGATTTGAACTACTGTCCATTTCAAAATAGAAGGCGTATAATGTGTTTCTTTCTCCAGTACCATTAGTTTAGAAAATTTTTATATTTTCTAGAACCGTTTATAGAAAAGACATAAAGTTGATAGTCAAATTTCAACCAGTATGTGTACGAATCTATTTACATCAGTTACAGCGTCAAATGTAAGTATAGACTATAACGAGTTATGTACCAGAGATTTGTATTTGATTTATACGTATGAAGCGAGATATGCGAAATATTGTACGAGTAACCAAGATAAAGAATTACTCAACAAAAAATGCAGCGGAATAATAACAAAATTCAATAAGAGTATTACTACTTATTAGATTTTTGTGGTAATATTAATATTGTATATATATGTCGGAGTTCAGATTAAAATCCAGTTGAGTTTAAAACTGAACTATTGTCCATTTCAAAATAGAAGGCGAGTGATTGAGCTGAATAACTCGAGAACGCAGACAGCTATCGAGGTCGGGTTTTCGCTATCATGTAGTGAACAGTAGGGAACATACCCATATGTGAAAACAAAACTTTTCAAATGGATCTTAAGGGGATCTGCAGGAAGGTCTTTGGAAAACCGAATCCACTCGCTGGAATCAAAAATTCATCAAGCCTTCTACTTTTGGTAAGATGGTTTTCCAAAGACCTTCCTGCAGATCCCCTTAAGATCCATTTGAAAAGTTTTGTTTTCACATAT